GACATATTCAATAACAATTTCCAGAGCTAAGATGCATCTCCATCAAAATTGGCTGCAAATTTTTAGGTTTACACTTGAATTAATACAGTTATACAATATTGTACTCAGTACTCAGTATAAACCCTATAAGACATAAATTAAATGATGTTTTAACCTTTAAAAAGATCTCCATTTCATTATTAAAATACACAGTTTCATATAGAAAAATTATTTTTCAATGCAATTGAAATTTTAAAATACTTTATATACATGATTGCATATATACTCCCTTCATTACTTATTTTCCTTGTTATCATCAGAGTTCAAAATTCAAATTCAATCAACAGACATTTATTGAAAATCAATTCTATATAAAGTACAAACTGTGAGGTATGAAATATAAAGTAGCATAAAATATAATCATTTAAATATGTATGACCAAATGGTGAGAGGAATCATGGGTACAAACAAGATTAATTTATAATGCAGGGGGCACTGGGAAGATAGCTCAGGTGGTGACGTGCCTGTTGCACAAGCCTGAAGACCTAAGCTGAGATCCCTAGCACTCATGTAAAAGCTGAGCATGGTCTGTCACTCTAGTGTTGGAGGTGAAGTGTAGGTGGGGAGAGAAACAGATGGAACTGAATGGCCAGCCAGCCTGGTCAACTGGTGAGCTCCATGTTTAATGAGAGACTCTGTCTCAAAAAGAAGGCAGAGCACAATAAAGGAAGAAACTCAGTGTTGACATGTGGCCTTCATGTGCATGTGTACACATGTTCATGCACATGCACACACACACATACATAAAATTATCAGGCAGGGGTTAAAATCATAATAAACCTCAAAGACGACTAGAAATGTGGTTACATGGGGAAAACTGGGAAAGGCACCCTACAGAAAAGGAACTTATTCTGGAAATCAAAAACCGTTGAAAGTTCACATACAATTACAAGCAAATTTAGAGAAGATAAAAATTCATGTAATGTTATAATTAGCAAATCAAAACCCACATACAATTATGATAAGAAAACAGGTCAGAATAAGTTGGATTTTAAATGAGTATAAAGATATGGACATCTAAATCTTCTAAACACTAAAGTAGGAAATCTAATCCTTATTCTTTTTTGTTTGTTTTTTTTGAAACAGTCTTTTATCCTGGACTGGCCTCCAACTCACAATGTAGCAGAATTTTGACTCCTGATCCTTCTGTCTCTACTTTCAATGTGCTGAGATTACAGGTATGTGCCACCACACCTAGCAGAATTTCATTCTTCAAAATGGATAACTCACAAAACGTCTCATTAGCATTTTGATATTTAGTGAAAAATGCTACATACTGTCAGCACAGATTAATTTTACAAACATGAAGAGAAAACAAGTTACATGAATACACACAGTATGAGATAGCTCATAAATTATAAACATGCAAAGTGATGTTGTTTTACACACACACATACACAAAAAGTAAAAGCATAAGGAAGGACCTGTGAATATATATTAAGAACCAAATTCAAAATAGTCACTACCTTGCTGAGAATGGAGGTCAATAGGGGAGAGCACAAGAGGATTTAACCATGTAGGCAATGCTTTATTTTTTGAAAACTGTAATACAAGTGTGTACAGTTTTCTTCTCTATACCTTTTAATGATATTAGAAGTGGGACTCAAGAGGCAAAACAGAAAGCATGGGGAATGTTACCAAAGTAATAACAGCACAAGGCAAGCAAACTTTAAAGAGCAGCAGTGCTAAGCCTGGAGTAATGGGAATGGTCCTAAAAATTTTTTAGAAAAAAATAAAAGGCAAGAATTGAAGCCTGACAGTGTGGGAAGACAGGATGGTGTAAAAATAAAAACATTTTTTATTATTTATTTTTATTTTATGTGTATGAGTGTACTGCCTGCCATGTGTGTAAGTGCACCCATGTCATGCAGTGTCCCTGGAGGACAGAAGAGAATGTTGGATCCCCTGGAGTTACAGACAGTTGTTAACCACCATGTGGGTGCTGGGATAAGAACCTGGGTCTTCTGCAAGAACAACCAGTGCTCTTAACCACTGAGCCATCTCTCCAGCCGCAATAAAAACCTTTTTAAGAGGACATTTTCACTGCTTGTTCAGTGACACCTCACTGGAAAGCCATCACACCATCATCACATGGACTTGAGAAAGCTACAAATCTGGCTGTTTTCTTGCTTCCATTTTTTACAGTCAACTTACCAGCCAGATTTAAGGAGGTAAAAGGAATCACTGAAAAAACTAACAAAAGAACAGACTTGTTTACTCATTATATTTCTAGCCTACATTCAAGACAAAAAAAGTTTCTGGGGTCTCCTCCATTAACACTAAGAGGTTTTTTTTTTTAAATACAAAGTTATGTTATGAAAATATTTTATATACAGGCTGTTAAGAATATTTACTTTAGTCCTAGCACTCAGGAGGCAGAGGCAGGTGGATCTCTGTGAGTTCAAGGCCAGCCTGGTCTACATAGTAAGTTCCAGGGCAGCTTGGGCTACAGGGAGACCCTGTCTCAAAACAAAAACAAAACAAACAAAAAGAATATTTACTTCATTTTTTTTTTCATAAATGCCTATAGTACAGTTCTAGGCACTAAGTTATTGAGTGTCATATTCTTAAGAAGATAAAGTAAGTAGTTTTCAAATAGAAGTGGCTTACCCGGTGTCACCCATTATGCATCCAGACCATGTGTCCTCACATTTACACTCACCTAAGAGAAAATGAATGCACATGCCTTTACACATTGAAAAACTGCACTAAAGAGCTTTTATTTCCATCTTTACTTCATGCTTAGAAGTTTTTTAAAGCTCTACCTGATTTCTAATTCTGCTTACACTCAAAGCTTTCAATGCAATGCATACCAACAAAAATGCACTTTGACTGCATGAAGGTCATATAAATTTTCTGATTACCAAGTTGTCGTATTTTTAAAGCAGTCACTTAAAATGGCTACATGAAAGACAATCAAATGCTAATGAAATCATAGGGAACTTTATGACACCAAAATAGGATCCCAGTTTCACAGACTTTTGGGGGAATTACCACAATGTCTTCCCATTTTTAACATCCCTGTGCTGAAACTCTGGTAGAAGGCAATAGAGAATATTGATTAGGCAGAAGGGCCAGAGTCACAGTCTCCTGGGCTGAAACCCTAGTTTGTCATTTAACATATGTATAACCCTGGACACAATATCCATTTAAGATCTAGTCACTTCATCTGTAAAGTAGGGCTGAAAACAGGCATCTTGTAGGATTATCTTGAGAATTAAATGAGTATCTAGACATATGTAATATGACAATCGTCTAGGAAATAATGGGTTCTCTAGAATAGTAATTACTATTATAAGCATCCATAGTTACAGAATTTGTTGCAATAATAATAAAAGAAACATGTTTATAAACAAATTACTTCAAATACATAGTATACTGTTCATAGTCAAGTAACTTTACCTACTTTGGAAAAAACTTTCTTTTTTAAAATTTTTTTATTTATTATTTTTATTTTATGTGTATGTGTTTATTGCCTGCATGTAGGTAAGTGCACCCATGTCATGCAATGCCTGCAGAAGGCAGAAGAGGCTGTCGGATCCCCTGGAACTGGAGTTACAGACAGTTGTTAGCTGCCATGTGGGTGCTGGAATTCGAACCTGGGTCTTCTGCAAGAACAGCCAGTGTTCTTAACCACTGAGCCATCTCTCCAGCCCCAGAAAAAAACTTTCTTTACAGATGTTACACCTAGCATAGTTTAGCAGATCTCTATTTTCTTAAGTCTTTCATCAGGTCTGATCCTTACAAGAAAGTTCTATGCCTGCGGCCTTATGTGTCTTAAATAAACCACAATGAAATGGTGTCTGAGTCTTAAACGATCTAAGATTCTTCACTAGATCATTTCAAATTACCAAAATGAGCTTATTTTGCCTCTTCTTAGGTTAAATCCAGCTTTGATTTCATCATCACATGGCTTCGACTGTTAACTACACATGGAGAAATTTTCATCTGTGATATAAACGTTCTCTGTATTATGTTTGAAAGCAACGTTTTGTGCCCTTGCTTACATATCTCACTGTACCACCCATAGCCTTGATTAAGAAACTGAATTTTTTTAAATCTCAATTTACAAAGTATTTGAAAGGACTCTGTTTTAATAAATACAACTAAACCACATATGATTAAACTTACCACTTGCTAACTTTCTTTTATCTGAGATTATACCAATATTGTGAGCTAATGACTGAGCAAGTGTAACAGCCATTAAATCAGTTTTCCCAAACTGAAAAACAAAAACAAAAATACGTAAATGAAAATTGTTTTTCATTTAATGTAGGATAGAGAAAAACAGCATAAAACAACTGAAAACAAGTCATTTCTAAGCTTTTTTTTTTTCCTTTTTTGTGGTATTATTCACACAGGGCCTCTCTATGTTGCTTAGGTTTGCTTCAAATTCATGATGATCCACCTGTCTCAGCCTCCTGGGCACGGATTATAAGGATGCACTACCATGCCCTAAATATTTTCTTTAGCAGAGTTTAAGCATCTTGTAGCTACGACTGAACATGTATTTGAAATAAAGCAGTAAGCAACAAATTCATGCTTAAGTCTTAAGAGGAAAAACAGAAAGCCAGAGAAGCGTTTACTTTTGAGTCTGGAAACTTAAGTAGAATTCTGAATCCAAATTTCACTTGATAACATTTCTGGAAAACTTAATTATTACAAACTTTATTATTAAGTCAGTGTTTTGAATAATACAAGATAAAGCTAAATGTGTAAAATTACTTGGAATATGTCTCCTTCCCAGATCAAATAGAAAGTAGCTTTAGAAAACAAACATAAGGAGACTCGGGAAGTAAGGACAGTCTGTGGCCACAGAAGTTTTGTTTTTTCAATGTGTAGCCTTCCAAAGATTCAAGCATTTTCTTCTAGATTCTTCCTATCAAGTTCAGTGTGTTAAGGAAAACCTAACACACTTCTTTGTGGAAAACCTTCTCTGTTTTGTTAAATTCTTCCCAAATTTGTCAAATACTGAGGAAAGAAGAAAATATACAATTATTTGCTCAGTGTCAGTCTAATGCTTCAGGGAATTACTCCAATCTCTGGAAATCATCTTTAAACATAATAAACATGTGGGCTTTATTTTCAATGTAGGGTAAAGATTATCTCTCTCTCTCTCTGACCTGTAAACTGCTTAATGGAAATTATTCTATGCCGAAAATGGGTACAGTCATCAGGTGTTATCTTCTATTGTTTCCCTGTTCTATCCTCTGGTCACATATGGGAACCATACTGATCACTAATGGAATAATCTAATATCTGGGGCCTGTGGACTATGGAGAAATGACCTCTTAAATATTAGGAAAACATTTTCAGCCATCATACCACTTTGTATTGCACAGATGTTCACACCTACTTCATTCACGCCTCCTCCTTTCAGCAACGAGCAAATCCCACCAATATAAGCTGCCCCGCTCCGGCTACTCTCAAATTGACTTCCCCTTTTAGAAAAGGAAATGAAAAGTGCTTAATGCTCACAGTTCAAACATCCAAGCCTCTCCCATTGTTAATTTACCACATTTGCTTTCTCAATGCATACAAGATTTCTATTCTCATAGACTCCCTAAGTAAGGGAGGAACATGAAAATTATTTACATACATAATCAAAGGAAAAGGTTTCTGAGGGCTACTTCCCCACATGATTAGTATCTATCTTATATGCAAATAGATCTATTAAAATAATTTCTACGATGATGCTCTCTAAGAATACAAAATCACTTCTGTAGCATTTCAGACCAAAATAGATAACTTAAACTTCATGAGAAAATATCAGACATTCCTACAATGAAGAGTGAAATAATAAGTCTATACTCTACAGAAGTATCGTTTGCTGAGCATAGTGGTGCACACCTTTAATCCCAGCACTCAGGAGGCAGAGGCAGGTGGATCTCTGTGAGCTCAAGGCCAACCTGGTCTACATAATGAGTTACAGGCCAGCTGGTGCTACAGGGAAGGGAAACCCTGTCTCAAAAAAAGAAAAGAAAAAAGGATCAAAGTAGAAAACAAAGTATCAAGTTCAACATAGACAATGGCTGAGAAAATCGTTTGGCTTAAAGGAGAGACATGATGATTAAACATACTGCGTGCTGCTGCACTAGATGCTGAGAGGAATTTAGTTATGGAAAGGCTTTCCTATGACTGATGAAATCTGAGCACAGACTATGAATTACATAAGAATGACGAATCAGTGTGAAATGTTCTGGTTTTAATAAGTTACTATGATATGTAAGAGCATATTTTTACTTTTAGAGAATACATTGAAAGACTTAAGTATTTAGCAGTAATGCAAAGAAGTGTCTCCAATTTATACTTGAGGAGGAAATGAGAAAAAAATGTAAAAATAAAGTCTTGAGTTTAGGTAAAGGACATAGATAATTTCCTTACAGTATTCTTGCAACTTTCCTCTAAATTTGAAATTACATAAAATTAAAAGCAACACTAAAAATACATCTTTTATATCTAATTATAACTGTCCTCAACAGCTCTGATTTTAGCGAGGTTCTTAAAATTCTACTAAATATATTTTGCTACTATATCAAATATTTATATCACTAAAACAAAGAACATAAGAGAAGAAAAGTAAAAAATTAATTCCATGAACTTAGCTCTTACATCAGAGCCAAACACAGAGAGAACATTAACATTTAAAACACAACAATTTTAAAGAATATAATTTATTTATTGCTATGAATTCTCGTTATGAGTGTGACAGTACTTTTACCCAGTAAATGCTCTAATTAAGTCCTTTGAAAATTCAATGAAATTAACATGCAATAATAACTCAAAATTAAATCATTTAAATTTTCATGAAAATTTCAAACAATCTTTAAACTTCTTCCAAATATTCTGCCACATCCAATACTAAAATCAGAAAAGATACATTTGAATCAGAAATAATAGAGCATTCAACATGGAACCAGGGAAAAAAAGTATTAAAGTATTATAAAAGTTACGTACGAGAAAAGATGTACTGCATCACTTTTCTCTTTGATAAAATCCCGTCTGTATTTCATAAACTCACGTAGCGTGATCAGTGGGTTTTCAGATATGGCAAACTTGTTGTCAGCAGCCCAAGTTTCCATGGCAACCAATACTATCCTAGTCTTCAGTTGGTCTTTATATATCTATGATATTAACAAAACAAGACATGAGCTGTGCACATGGTCAAATTACACAGCTTAAGAACAGGACTACACAGTTCCTTTCATGGAAACTCCTTCACACTTTGTTAACAAAACGTTATTGTTTTTAAAGGAGATAATTATTTTTCTAACTACATTCCTTTACCTTGAAGAACCAAGAATCAAATTATTTGCCAAAAAATATACAGTGAATAAAGCAATATTTAGAATCAAAGGAGGTTTTGGGGTTTGGGGTGTTTTTTCAACAAATACTTATGCTCAATTCAAAGACCTCCCCAAGTCCATTTTTTGGCACCCTGGATAAGTAATTCATAAAATCTTGAGGTTCTCTATTAAAAAAAAAAAATTGGAACACTAAGACACTAATGGAATGACAGCTGTACAACCTGACTGGTGCCAGTTAGGCTCAGGGAAGGTCCTGGAATGGCCTTGTCGAGGGAATATGTGGACAATGGAACTATGTAAGGACACCATTGTCATAACAGGAGACACTCCTGAAAAGGCTCAACTGCACTGTTTCTCCCCTGTTTTATAAGAGTTCACCATGGTTATCTTTGCTAGAGCCTATGAGTAAGGCTCTGTCCCTTACAGTGTGAAAGAAAAAAGGAGTTTCATTTGACCAGCTCCTCTTCCCAGACAGAGATATAAGTCAGTAGAGTCCATGGCAAGGTTGCCAGGGATCCTTCGGTCAACCTGGTTGAAGTGCAACTTTGGGCAACAAAAATGCCATCTCTACTAGCAATAAGGAGGGTTGAACATGACTGATACTTACCACATCTGCCATGTTCACCACAGACTTCGCATAGGTGTTGGTGTGTACAACAGAAAGCCGATGCTTTTTAAACTGAAAATGACAGAAAACAAGTGAAGGAATTTTAAAGTTACCAGAAATAATCATCTCAGCACAGAAAACAAGATGTAACAGGAAATTTCCTAAGGTATCTGTTAAAAAAAAAAAGCAACAACAACCAAAAAAACACCTCAGAGTCAAGACTAAGGTCTTTATCTGCCCTGAAGCCTGAAGCTCTTGAAAGTCAGAGCTTTATCTCATTTATGAGATAAAGTTAAAATTTCTTCCACTGCAGAGGGCTGCAATATAGCCACCTGTTTGGTATACATGAGGCTGTGGGGTCAATCCCTAGCATACTCCCTTCCCCTCATTTTTTGAACATGCTTATTCCATCTATTTCATAGGTTTTTTTTTTCAGGGTTGTTTATACAAAAGCAGTTATAAGATATTCACAGTGGGGCTATGACCAAAAATAGTAAACACTGCTCAAAGTATAAAACTTACAAGTTTTACATGACTTTTCGGTATGATGAAGAAGCCTAAAGATACAAGTTTCCAGTAAATATGGATAATATATATGGTTTTCTGGGCCTAAATGGTATTCTAATTATCACATAAAATCCAATTTCACTCTTCTTTTAAAAGTAGCAGGCTCAAGGGGCTGGAGAGATGTAGGGAGATGCAGAGATGCGGGATGGTTCAATATACGTAAGTTAATAAATGTCATAAATCATATAAATGGGCACAAAGACAAGAATAACATGGTCATCTCAATAGATGCAGAGAAGGCCTATGACAAATTTCAACATGCATTAATGGTCAAAGTCCTAGAGGGAATTAGACTGGAGGGAACATACCTCAACATAATTAAAGCCATATATAACAAACCCACAGCCAACATCATTCTAAATGGAGAAAAACGGGAAGCATTCCCATTGAAATCAGAAACCAGACAAGGCTGTCCACTATCTCCACTTCTCTTTAACATAGTCCTTGAAATTCTTAAAAGAGGGATGATATGATATTGTATCTAAGAGATTCCAAAAATTCCATCAGAAAACTCGTAGAAATTATTAAGACATTCAGAAAAGTGGCAGGTTACAAAATTAATCTATGAAAATCTGTAGCCTTTCTATATACCAATAACAAGCAATCAGAGAAAGAGTACATGAAAACACTCCCCTTCACAATAGCTGCAAAAAAAAGAAAATATCTCAGAATACACCTGACCAAAGACATTAAAGAGCTCTACAAAGAAAATTTTAAATCTTTAAAGAAAGAGATTGAAGAAGACATCAGAAGATAGAAAGACCTCCCATGCTCAAGGATTGGAAGAATTAAATTGTGAAAATGACCATCCTAACAAAAGCCACTTATAGATTCAATGCAATGTCAATCAAAATCCCCATGACATTTTTCACAGAATTGGAAAAAGCCATCCTAAGATTCATGTGGAAGCACAAAAGACCTCAGATAGCCAAAGCAACCTTGAGCGCTAAGAGCAATGCCAGGGGGATTACTATACCGGATTTTAAGCTGTATTACAGAGCGATAGTCATAAAAACAACATGGTACTGGCACAAAAATAGACCATTTGATAAATGGAACAAAATTGAAGACCCAAATATGAGTACATGCAATTTCAGCCACCTGATATTTGACAAAGGTGCCAAGAACATTTACTGGAGGAAAGACAGCATGTTCAGCAAATGGTACTTGCAAAACTGGATCTCCACCTGTAGAAGAATGAAACTGAACCCCTATCTTTCACCATGCACAAAAGTCAACTCCAAATGGATCAAAGACCTCAATGTAAAGCCTGAAACTCTGGAACTGTTAGAAGAAAACATTGGCAAAAACATACAAGATATAGGTATAGGAAAGGATTTTCTAAAGCAGACATCAATTCCTCAGGAAACAAGGGCAAGAATTACAAATGGGACCTCATTAAACTAAAAAGCTTCTGTACATCAAAGGAGGAAACCAAGAAAGCGATCAGAAAACCCGAAGAGAAATCCCAGAGTGGGAGAAGATCTTCACCAGCGACACATCTGACAGAGGTTTACCATCCAGAATCTATAACGAACTCAAAAAATAAAGAATCAAGAAAGGAAGTCACCCAATTAAAAGATGGGCTAAGGAGAGCTGAACAGAGAGTTCTCAAAAGAAGAAGTAAAGATGGTTAAGAAGCATATTAAAAGATGTTAAACATCACTAATAATTAGGGAAATGTAAATTAAAACCACTTTAAGATTTCATCCTACCCCAATCAGACTGGCTAAGATCAAGAGAACAAATGATACCAAATGTTGGAGAGGATGTGGGGAAAGGGGAACACTCATCCACTGATGGTGGGGCTTCAAACTTGTTCAACCCCTATGGAAAACAGTGTGGAGAACTCTTAAAAAACTACAAATGAACCTAACATTTGACCCAGTTATACCATTCCAAAAGAACTCATCCTATTGCAGAGACATTTGTATGTTCATGTTTGTTGCTGCTCTTTTCACAATAGCTAGGAGATGGAAGCAACCTAAGTGTCCCTCAGTTGACGAGTAGATAATGAAAATGTGGTTCATTTATACGATGGAGTTTTACTCAGCAGTAAAGGAAGATGAAATCATGAAATTTGCAGATAAATAGATGGAACTAGAAACTGTTACATTAAGTGAAGTAACACAGACTCAGGAAAAAACAAAAGAAACAAACAAACAAACAAACAAAAACAATGTATGTTCTCCTTCATATGTAGATCCTAGCACCAAATCCTGATAAGTGACTATGTATCCAGACATAACTACAGGAATCAGGACAATGGAAAGAAACAGGAAGGTAAAGGAAAGAATCTGAAAGAGAGGAACGTAAGAAACAGGCATTAATAAGGGAGATATGGAGAAAAACTGGATTAGTTTAAGGGAAGGGGGATGGAAGGGTATACAAGGAACCTAGGGGATAAAAGGAAAGAAGGTGCTCAAGAGAGGTAGGACCATAGGAGAAGTAGGTATTATTAAGGGAGAAATGGGACAAATGGGGCACCTTTATTGGGGAAACCATGACAAACCATGTTGGAAGGGTTAGATAATGCAAGAGATAAATAATGCCTAGCTAGTTTTTTTAAAATCCAAAGGGAACCATATTAGTTCAACAATCTCCTGATAAATTATACATACAACTAGCTCAAGGAGCATAATATATATCTAGTCAAGGTTTATTGGAGAACATTTGGTTTTTCCCCAAGCTTTATCTATGTAGCACATGGTAATTAAAAGTACCAGACTGGTGGAAGTAACCTTCTTGGATGTTTAACAGACATACTTTGAGGCCTATACTAATTTGGTCAGAGGGACATAAAGGAGTTTTTGCTCCTTGCCCTCCTAAGTCGACTAGTTCCAGGGGACTATGAGCATCTCCCAAAATGTCCTGCAACTGTGGTATATCACCTGTCCTCTCAATCAAGTAAGCCATGGAGACCCCACAAGATGGACTTGAACCAATGTCTGGTCTACAAAGAGGAGGGTCAACACAGAGGAAACATTTCCTCCATGCTTCCAAGTGAAGGCAGCCATGGTCAAGCAGGACTTTTGACTTACCTTCACATAGGCAGAACTGGTAAAAGAAAGGCACCAGGGGCTCCTCCCAAGCCCATATGACCCTTGAGGAACAAATTCTCAAACAGCCTTAAGAGTAAAAATAAATTATTTTATCTGGGCCAACTGTATGGCCTTAAACACCCTAAAGGAAAGTATAACCAAAGATTAAAGGGTTCAGTATAATTTTTAAGAGTCCATGTGTACAGCTAAAGGCTACATAACAAGAAACAATGCGAGATAGGAGATACCTTCTGTTGAGTTGTTGGCCAGGGTGGCCCAAGGGACTCCAAGATATAACACAGCATAGAACGAAGAAAATGAAGAGCAGACCCCAATTTTATCTAAAGGAATATTGACACTGAGTGCTGCTAGATGAGGAACAGCTGACCTTACTAAAACAAAGACTTTTACATAGGCTGACTAGATTCACCGTATGGATAAGTACTGAGGAGTGGCTGGGGTGCTGACAATACAGTGGACAATAGCAGGGATGACAAAGTATAAGGGCTCAGGGGAGGGGGGCTACAAGAGGGTACCATCTGGGAAGTGGGTGTATAGATGAGTAAGATGGTTTGGGATGTTCTGTGTGATATAAACACAAAAAAAATCAACAAATAAAAAAATGAGTTATATTTGAGGAGGAAGCATAAAAATTTATGTCATGTTAATTAGTAGAGGTGATAAACATTACTACTGAAATCTACCTAATGACTTTATATCCATACACAGTTGCCAAGGATCCAAAAGCAACCAACTATGACTAGTAACAATCAGATACATACGCATGCACCAACATCTAAGCGTTATTAGCAAAAACAATGAGTCTTTCTGTAAGAAACAGTGTATTTTAAAATGAAATGGAGATCTTTTTTTAAAGGTTAAAAACTCATTCAATTTTATGTCTTACAGGGATTATACTGAGTTCAATATTGTATAACTGTATTAATTCAACTGTGAACCTAAAAATTTTATAGCCACTTCTGAAAGAGATGTATCTTTGCTCTGGAAATTTTTACTATGTTAAAGCTGTAATGAAGTGCTTCTTCTAAAAAATAAAATAAATAAATAAATAAAAGTAGTAGCCTCATATGGCAAGCACTGAGAGGCATCTGTTCCACTTACACACCTTGCCTTCCCTTTAGCCACAGGCCTCATCTCCATTCACTGCCTCACACCAGCTTCACTCTGCTTATACTATATGTCTAGAGAAACCTATAAACATCTGTATTTGTGACCATCTAAAATGTTCAGGATACTTGTCTCTACAGCTTAATTATTTTATACAATCTCAGGAAACAGTAACATTGACTAGATTCAAATGGGTTAAAATAAACAAACCCAACCTTAACAAGAAAGCACTGCTCAATATTAATGTTATTACTGTTATTCCTGTTTTGAACAACAATAATAAAGACTGATATTATTTATTGATATATAAATAACAGTTTCCCTCAAATAAAGCATTCAAAGTAAATTAAAATGCACTTGCATGAAAATTAAGTAAAATTCAATAATTTGAATCACTGCTTACTTTTAGTTAAAAACTGATTTTATGGAGAGGTTAGCATTGTAATTCAGTTACACTATAAATGTAACTATACTGACTACAATATGCCTATTAATTGAATATACATACAATGAAATATTTCAACTCAACAAAGAGGAAGCTTTGGTAAGTAATTCACCTTAGTACTTACATGGTAAGTACTTCCATATAATTTTCTGTATAACCAGAGAAGAAGAAAATATTCTTTTCTTTTATTATCATAAAGCTGTATACTACAAACTAAAGTGCTGAGTAACTGGAAGCTCATTTTTCCAGCATAAATTAGAAATTTCTACTTCTCTTTTTCATTTTATTTTTTAATTGAAATTTTGTGTATTTCATACAGAACATTTTAACTTTATACTCCCTTCCCCATTGGCACCTGTCCATAGCCCCCCCCTTCATTGGAATTCATACATTCTGTCATTTCTGTTATGGCCTATCATGTCAAGGTAGTGTCCCCAGATGTCCCTCAGTGCAAGGTCATTCACTGGGGTCTAGTCAGCCTATCTAGAGTCCCTCCATTTAAGAAAATCAGCTCTTCCTCACTCAGCAATAATCAGCTACCAATAATTCATCAGCTAAGATTGGGGCCTACAGTCCATTTCCACAGTTCTGTGCTGGGCTTTTGTCTGCTCAAGTTCGTATGGGTCTTGTGCATGCTGACGCCCCATTGCTGTAGGTTCATATGAGTAGAATCCCAGGAGCCTGTAGGACTCTATTTCCATATGGTTATGCACCTCCTCCCTGGCTCTTAAACTCTTTCAGCCTATTTGTGTCATGGAAGATTTTTCTTTCCCCTTCAACTATGATAGACATGTTCGCTGGGTAAAGTATTCTGGGTAGAAATTTACAGTCATTCAGAACTGGGAATACTTTAGTCTAGGCTCTTCTGGCTTTCATAGTTTGCACTGATAAGTCAGTTGTAATTCTGATGGGTTTTCCTTTATATGTGACTTGTTTTTCTTTTGCAGCTTTCAGTATTCTCCTTTTGTTCTGAACATGTAGTATTTTTACTATGATACATCATGGGGCGTTTCTTTTCTGGTCCTGTATATTTGGTGTTCTATGTGCTTCTTGTATTTGTATTTGTCTTTCCTTAATTTGGGTAAATTTTCTTTGACAATCCTATTTAAGATCTGTTCAATACCATTAACCTGAAATTCTTCTCCTTCCTCTATGCCTATGATGCATAAGTTTGGTCTTTTCATGGTGTCCCACATTTCTGGTATATTCCATTTCTGTGATGTTTTTTTAATTTTTCATAATCTTTGCTTGAGCAGTCCAATTCTTCAGTTTTAATGTCCAGTACTGATACTCTGTTTTGCATTTCATTCACTTTATTGCTGAGGCTTTCTCCTGTTGTTTCAAATTGGTTTGTTGAGTTTTTCACTTCCTTCTTCATTTCAGCCTGAGTTTTCTTCAATATTTCTGTCTCTTTTGTGAATTCAGTCAGAAGTTTTTCTCCATCTTCTAGTTACTTGATTTGTGTGTTTTTTAAATTTGTTGAATTCTTTGATCTTGTTTATGACTGTTATTTTAAATTCCGTGCCCTGGGTTATCTCTAGGGAGTTCTCCTGGTAGAACTCTTCTATAGGACTGGTAGTGTTTTGTGGGAACATATTATTTTGGTTTTCCATAAGATTATTTTTCCATTGTGATTCTGGAGTGTGGATTTCTTTAGCTGTTTGTGAGTCTGGTATGAAACTCAAGCATTCCTTTGTTGAAGTCTGATTCTATTTGTATTATTGATGTCCCTTGGTTGTTTTCTTATTGGGTATGTAAAGCTGCTTGGTCTAGGTTTCAGGTTCCGTCTTTTGATTTTATATTGTAGGGACCATCTACTCAGGAGCCCCCGGAGAGGCCCAAGTCAGGCACCGCTCAGGTACTCTCAGGCTTCCTCTTAAGGTCTGGGCCCCTACTACCCAGCAGTCACAGCACAATTTGGTAAGTTTTCTAGGTGGAGAACCAATTTAGGTGCTCTCAGGAAGTCTACAAAGGTCTAGGTCCCTGCTAAGGGGCAGAGAAGCCTAGCCCTGCGGCAGTCCTAATGAAGGGGAATGGGTACGGCATGATTTGAGAAGCTCACTACCACAAGGAGGCCAGATCCAGACACTCTCAGGCAGTCTGCAAAAGTCTGGGCCCCTGAATGAAGGGCAGAGAAGCCTAGCCCTGAATCAGTGAGAGGGGCTGCACATGGTCCCAATATAGGAGGATGGGGACAGTGCAATTTGGGAAGCTCAGCCATCATGCAGGGGCCAGATCAAGACACTCTCCATAATTCTTTTCTTAAACCTTGTCATTTTAGTAAGAGAAAATTCAAGCATCAATGTATTTACTATTAATTGCTACTAAGCAATCAACTTCAAAGAACCCCCATTCATAGGTTCTTAAATAAAAGTCCCAGGGTCAGGGGTGATCTACCTCCCTATAAGTTGTTAGCCAGGGGGAGGCCACTGAAACTCCCAAAACAATAGTATTGTTTTCCCATCAGAACTAGATCATATGCCCTGATTCCTGAAGACACTGTAGGCCTTAGTCACGAGACAAAGAGAAATCAAGCTGGAAATGGGATGGAAGCTCCTCCCTCTGGCTAGTCCTCACAGTTCCAGAAGGTGCTATACAGGCTCCTGAGGGAGAACTGTCATCAATACCCTTACTCAGCTGATGTGACCCCTACATGTGGCATTCTCAATTGGCCAGGCAAGATGAGCCCATTGATATAAAAGTGGAAAGTCTATGATGAAGGCAATCAACCATTTATGACTGGATTTGATGCTCACTCCATAGGAGGGAATTCACTTCTGGTAACGTAAACCCCCGTCAGTGATTAGGGAGGTCATGGGCCTTAGTGAGGAAGCTACTGCTGTTTTTTTTGCTAACTGGACATGATGTGTCTGGTCAAACTGCCTTCTAAATGACTGTGTTTATCCTCATAGATTAGAGCTACTGCCAGCTTTGGTCAGAAAAACTTCTTTTTACAGTGGTCATTATGACTGCAGAGACTTATAATTGGTCAAAGTACAGGAGTAAATGACTGTTGAATGCCCAGTCATAAATGAGACATCTATGTTACCCCCCTCCAAGGCTCAGGGAACACAGCAGAAGAAGGGATAGAAAGAATGTAAGAGCTGGAGAACTGTGAAGAGTGGTCAGAATGCTGACTCCAGACATGGCATGGCTGTCTGACTCTTGAACTCATAGCAGTTATGATTACCTGCACAAGATGGCCTGTCAACACCTTGTCATGGAAGGGAAAGGTAATCATGGGGCTTCATGCTTCCCTGAGAATTTACACTCAGTGAAGCCTTGATGAGGGAGAGACGTTATCTTCAGTGGTGTAGCCAGTGATAAAGTGCCTATGCTCCTGTAAGCAATGCTAATGAAACCCATTGGTCCCCCAAAAAAGACAGAAACATTGAAGAGAGGCTAATTAAGAAGAGGAAGGGAATTAGTAGGAATGGGAGAGAGACAAGAGAGGGTAGTGGTGGGTAAAGCGGTAAATATGATTGAGATATATTCTATACATGTATCAAAATGTCATCATGAGATGCATTATTATGTATAGTCAATATATGCAAATAAAATATTTTTAAAGGAAAATATTAGGGGATTCTCATAAATAATTGCTAGTAATTTCCACCAAAGCATGTTTTCTATGTATAGGTTGTTTCTGGTTAAAAATATGTTTCATTGCACAAATGACTTCTTCAAATCACAATTTGATGAGATTTTTATTTATTTTAAACATAATAACAGTTTTATTCTCGTATCAAGCAAGTGAAAAAACAAGAAAGAAATAGCAAATCTTACCATGAGATGGTCGTTCACAATCATCAGTTCTATGTATTTGGTTTCCTCCTCCACATTACGAGGATATCGAAGAAGCTGCAATGCAGTGAATGCAAAAACACTGAAATAAGCCTTCTAAACTTAGCTGTAAAAACCAGAAAGCATGGAAGAAATCAATGAAGCAAAATTTCCCCTTTTTACTTTCATCAATTTTCTTAGTTTTTGAGTAGATGAAATATCTATATGGTTTGAAAAAAAAATAATGAAGTATAAAAAATGCGAAGGATGCAATTGTCCCCTCCCCGATCCCTTATCTATCCAGTGCCTGCTGTCTCTTCCATAGGGGTACAGCAAATTACTAGCTTCTTCCAAAAATACACAAAAAAATTAAATATATGTTTTATGCATACATCTATGTATTTTACTCTAGGCTTTGTCAAAATATCTTTATGTAACAATGTCATGGCAAGGTAACACATTCTTCCTGGTTCAGTTTAATTCCAGTAGTCTTTCTGAGAGTGGAGTGACTGGCATCTCTGTGTAACCTCCAGATCTGAGACTGGGCCATGCCCCTTCTCTGGTATAGTTCATAGGATCCCCAAAAGATACAGGGGTTTGGTCAGGAAAGTTCTGGGAGCACCCAGAAAGTCTTGGGCTATCCATTACTGCCATACCTCTCTGCTCAAGTTCTCTCCATCCATAAAACCTCAATCAATGGATGCCAAAGGCAGGAGCCCCCAGGGCAGTCATTCTCTCAGCAGCACATCTACAACACTATCTTGAATAAGTGTAAAGTGACTTTTCTTTATGCCACATACACCTTTATTATGGTCGACACACTTTTTTTTTTTTTCTCAGTAAATCTTGTTCACTTGCTCAAGGACCATATCTATGATGAAGGCATGTGATCAAACCAGAATCAGTACATGTATATTTGAGTGCTACATTTAAACAAATTTAAAAATACATTGCCAAGCCTGGCATGGTGGCACATGCCTTTAGTCCCAGCACTTGGGAGGCAGAGGCAGGTGGATCTCTGAGAGTTCAAGGCCAGCCTGGTCTACATAGTGAGTTCCAGGCCAGCTGGGACTACAGGGAGACCCTGTCTCAAAAAGACAAAAACATTGCCACATAGATTTTTGCCTCTGGATTCCTAATCTTTAAAACTAAAAAAAAAATCTTATAACACTAATGTCATAGAGAATGATGGGCTAGAGTTTTTAAGTTGAAAACCAAAGAGAAATACTAAACTGCACCCAATGGCAAGAGTATTTAGAATAATTTTTTAAAATAACATTGCTATTAGGACAGTAGATCTATGTTGCTAATTGTGGTACTTATATTTAACACAGTAGACTTTATGAACCCCAATGCCAGATGTTTACTTTGGGGCCACATAGTTTTATTGAACCTCAGTTTCATAGGTCCATAAAAGAAACCAGAGTTCATCTGTTTAGCAAATGGCAAGATGTAGAGATGTTTATAAAGAACTTCAAGGTACATGCTAAAAGAATATTCAAATTTCTCAACTCAGATTACATTAAAATAAATACTTCTATAAATTAAATCTTCATGGAATTTTTTTTAACTTATTTAACCTATTGTCACAATATGCCTCTGTGTCTCTGGAACATAGCGTATGTGAGTTCACAGTAGTGATTCTCGGAAGACACTGGCCCAAGAGGCTGTGCAGAAAGCATGTGTGACTAGAGACATCTCTGAGACCAGACCTTCTAGCTCAGAATCCCAGCTCCACCACTGAGTGCACTTGTGACCATGGGCAAGTTTCTTCAGTCTCTTCTGTTTCATTGACCTTGCCAGTAAGTGGGGATAAAAATAGTATCTTCTTCATAAGGATGCCATGAGGATTGAATATTGTAAAATTCAGTTAAATTCCTCAGTTAAATACAGTTAAAATTCTTATAAAATGTCCAGGTAAGGTTTCAATAAAATTAATTAACTGTAATTCACATAAAAATCTGTCTGTAAATACATTTTATTTTGCTAGGCATGGGGGAGGCTCATGACTGTAATCTCAACATTAGGGAGACTGAGGCAGGAGCAATGCCATGAGTTTGAAGCCAATCTAGGTTACAGAGTGAAAACCTGTCTCAAAACAACAAAACAAAACCAAAAAGCAACTGTTTTACTTAAAGGTAATGGAAGCACAGGCCTATAACATCAGCACTGGGGAGACTATGCAGCACCAGTTCAGGTCTGCGAGTACGTTCAAGAGCAGTTTAGAAAACTTAATGAGATGCTGTCTCAAAATTTTAAAAAATTTACTGTAGTAGAGTGGTAGTGCTTGCCTAGCATGCGAGTATTGCTAGGTTCAGTCCCAGGAGGGGACTACATGTTGAGATGTTTATAAAGAAGCACATATTAAACATGTATGACCCCATCCTTTCAACTTTAGAGCTCATAAATACTTCATACAAACCTTCAACACCTTCATTTATTTCCTTCCTCATGTGCTTTTTATACCACAGAAATAATACATTCATACATCATCATCACAGGGATGATGATGTGCTGATTCTGAGCCATTTCTCAACTCTGTGAGGTAGGGTAAGTCATTTTCACATGTCAAAGTCATGGAAAAGAACAGTACCTACTTCACATAGTTGAAGGCACTGTATGAAGAGCTGAGATACAATTTAGTCCAAGATCCAGTTGAACCAAAGTAAAGCTAAGCCCTAATTTTATATACTGGACTCCAAAGCAGTTCAATAAGAAAAAAACCACTTTATGGCTTCACAACCTGTTAAGAATACCATCTAAGTAGATCCCATAATGAGTTCTCACTGAGCAAAGAAAGAAACCTTGCTACAGTCAGAGGCCTCATGAGCTATGGAAATGATGAGGAAACCACACTCCCCCATTCACTATCTGACAGCCCTTTCTTGCTTTCATCAGTCTGTCACCTGTTCTGCTTACCCCATGCTGATGAATGGGTGAACTACACTCACCCTTTCACAGACACATACAGAGTTTCCAAATATTTGAAAATATCAAGACATAAACCTGTGAACACGTACCTGCCGTTTATTCCTTTTTGGTCTTGGCTTCAAAATAAGTTTTGGTGGAGTAATGTTTACTTGTTGAAATTCTAAAAGGAAATAAAAACAAGGTATTTTCCAGATTTCTTTAATAGAAGGCAAAGTTTCACTAGCTCTTCTTTCATAAGAATTTTATAATATATAATGTACTTAATGATCACATGAAACATTAAGTAATCATGTTATGTGAATCCTAAATACATATGTAATGGATAAATACAATGCACAGAATCTCAAACATACCTGTCCTAACTTGTGTCAAATTTTTTCACATTTGTCCTATGAATACCAATATATTCTTTCTTAAGAATCTGTTAAATAGCTAACAATCTTTACTTCCATTACTGACCTTCTAGATGCAGAAAAATGAAGAATGGAAACAAATAAAAGAACAAATAAATAAAACTCATTAAGATGACCTATCAAGAAATTATCATGTCACCAAAATTTTGACTGAATTTTTTCCAGTTCACAGACATTCTTCCTAGCCCATGACAAAATTTATCTCAGATCTTTTTTGCTATTAAGGGAAATCTGAATCCCTCTTAACAAGCAGGTCAGAGTCATACCTCAATAATTCATGCATATAGATTCATCTCTAAATTTAGAACTGTGCTATTTATAAGGGAGAGCGTCCTACCACATGACAGAAAAATACTGTTGTACCCTGTGGTACAGATTTCCTAAGACACTGATGGCTGACTGAACAACACAGAGTAACTGGATTGGGAGATACTCAGAGTAAAGTATTGAGTCTAGGGGACTGATTATATGAAACGAGAAGTTCTCTGAAATCACAATATTGTCCTAAGACATGACAAAATGTATTTTCTTATCCTATGAATGATTTATTATAGAAAAAATGACTGATTATAAAACTATGAAAAAAATCTTTTTATCTATCTAAAGTTGTGACTAAGACTCACTTAAATGAAGGTATTTAATTGTCCTTTTAATTATATTAACTATCATGTAGAAAATAACTAAATTAATTTCTGAAATTTTTCTATGAGATATAACAACATTGTCAAAACTGAAGCCCCGCATGGTGATGCACACCTTTAGTCCCAGCACTCAGGAGGCAGAGGCAGGTCACTCTCTGTGAAGGTGAGACCAGCCTGGTCTACATAGGGAGTTCCAGACCAGTTGGGGCTATAGGGAAACCCTGTCCCCAAAAGACCAAAAAAATAAAATTTAAAAGTGAGTTATAATTATGGTTGGAGAAATCTGTGAAAGATGTTGATAGCAAAGTCAAGCTAAGATTACGGTCTTGGTCATTCATCGTTTCATTCTCAGTGGTGTCTACAGTCATACCAGCCTGAAGAGGCCTGATCTGGTCATTCTCAGGCCTGCCCCCATCATACTGTGCAGGAGGGTGTAAGCCTGAGCATGCAAGGGATTCTCTGAGCAGCAGTATAATTTTTATTTTACAATTAACTGATAAGGCAAGTAGAAAAAGAAAACAACAGAATTAAAACCAGCCAACCAGCCATATCAATAGACCTATTAAGTGTGAATAAGCAAAATGTTACAGCTAAATGGCATGGATTGTCCAATTGGATTTTTTTTTTTTTTTTCGATTTTTTGAGACAGGGTCTCCTTGTAGCTCCATCTGGCCTGTAGATCAGGCTGGTCTTGAACTCACAGAGATCCTCCTGCCTCTGCCTCTTGAGTGCTGGGATTAAAGGAGGGCGCTACCAACCTCCCATTCAATTGGATTTTTAAAACTGCAAGATCTAACTACAGTCTGTTTATATGACTCTTCAAATGTAAATAGAATAAGGTATGTCTTGTACATGTTAATTATAAAAAAGCCATGGTATAAGAGGAAAGGGACTCCTGAGCCCCCATCCCCTGAGGAGCTGTTGGCAGTTGCTGGCTTCTGGGGCAAAGAGAGTCAGTTTTCTGTAGGGTGTAGCTATTGGTGTGTTGATCATGCTCCAGGGGATGGCCCCACACTCAGAAGTACTGACTGTAGTTGATAGGTTATTTTTTTTTTTACAGGATATGAAATTAGGGAGTAGGGAGGGGATGGATCTGGGAGGAGTTAAGGGGAAGAGTTAGGGGTGAACATCATCGAAGTATATTATATGAAACGGAGGCAGTTGGCTCTCTGTGAGTTCAAGGCCAGCCTGGTCTGTACAGCATGTTCCAGGCCAGTGAAAGCTACATAGTGAGACCTTATTTCGAAAAAGGAAGAAAAAAAGGAAAGGAAGGGAGGAAGGGAGGGAGGGAGGAAGGGAGGGGCAGAAGGGAGGGGAGGGAAGGGGAGGGAAGGGAGGAAGTAATTTTTTTTTTTTTTAATGGAGAAGACACGAAGTTGGGAGAGGACAGAAAGGTGGGTGGATCTGGGAGGTGTTATGGGGAGGAGGAGTGAATATAATTAAAATACATTGCATGTATGAAGTTCTCAAATAATTAATAAAAATATCACATTTTAAAAGCTATGCTAGAAACAATATCAGATAACATAATTTTAGGACAAGAAATATCAGTGAGGAGGAATATTTCATAAAGATAAAAGGATCAATTCACCAAAAAGACAACATTCCTGCCAATAACCGCATGAGTAGGCTTAGATACCAAGCCTTCCTCTATGAGCTTTCAGAGGAAGTCATATCTAGAGCTGACAGATACACTACGAACATCAGCTCACAGTACTCAACTAATCCACAACCAGCCTCTTGATTCTCAGGAACTGTGAGATAATAAATGTTGATCCCTTAAAGCTACTAAATTTAAAATAATTTGCTACATAGCAACAGAAAACTAATACAATGTCTGCACTGAAAATGACCAACATTAAGAAACATTCAAAGTTTTAAATAATTTGGGGTCTGGAGAGATGGTTCAGGGGGCAAGACCTGGGTTCATTTCCCAGCACCCACATGTCAGCTCCAGTTCCAGGGAATCGGATGCCCTCTTCTGACTTCCACAGGTACTGAACAACATGGGTACACTTACATACATACAGGCAATACACTCATGCACATAAAATAATAAAGAAAATATTTTTTAAGTTTAAATAATTTAAAAAATCTTGTATGATTAAGTAGCTCTGGTGGGGGGTAAGAGCTTTTGTTTTGTTTTGTTTTGGTGCTTGGGCTGAACTTGGGCCTCATACAAAAAAAACCCTAAGTACATGAGGAAATGTTCTACACCACCTATGGGTTCAAAGACTCACTGCTGATAATATGCCTGTTTTCCCACAATTAATCTAAACATTCAATACAATCCAATAAGAATCTGAGAAGAACTGTAGAAACTGACAAGGCAATTCTAAAATCTGTAAGAAAATGCAAAGAACCTAGAAGAGCAAAGCTAATTTGAAAAAGAACAAAATTGAAGGATATATGTTACTTGATTACAAAAATATGCTATAAAGGGATAGAAAGCAAAAAAAAAAAATTGCTATGAGTGCCAAATGGAACAGAGCCAAAGAAGAGACCAATATTAATACCTGACGACAAATACATCAAAACAATGCAGTGTCATAAAGCATCTGACAAAGGTCTTATCTCCAGAGCATGTAATCACTTTTTTGTCTTTTGGCTGAGATCAAATACAGAATATGTAAATATTTCTACACTGCAACAACTAAAAGATGATTGGTGGCTAGTAAGCATACTCTACACACCACTAGTCAAAACACAGTAAAGAACAGTTAGATACCACCATGCACACCAGAAGGGCTAACACCCAAGAAAACTGGATACTGGTGAAGATTTGGAGGAATGAGAACTGCATATGGTGCTGATGTCAGAGTAAAATGGTAAAACCACTAGAGAAAAAAATGTTCAGCAACTTCTCCTAAACAGTGGTTCAAAAAGGTAGAATCCTTAAATTATTAAAATTAGAATCACTTAGGGATGTGCTGGAAATGGAAATTCTCAAAACCAACTGAATAGGTACTAAATTGAAGTCCTGAGATGGTATAGCAGTGTGTGGCTACCAGCACGCCAGGTGTTTCTGATAACATGCCCAAGTTTGAGAATACTGTTCCTGAGCTAAATGTACACCTTCCCTAGGGCCCAGCAAGGTCATTCGCAGGTGTCTACAAGGAGAAATTTTTTAAAAAAGAAGAAAAAAAAAGAAACAGAAAACAAAAGACTTGTGCAAGAATATTCATGGTTGCTTATTAATAGTAGCTCCCAAATCAGAAAAAAACTGCCCATTAATTATTAACATAATAAAAATTATAGTCTATTCATATCATAGGATATAGTCCATAATAAAATCAATGAATGATTGCTACTTCTGACAACATAACTGTCATAGGCATATGCTAAGCACAGAAACTGCACACAATACATTGTTTCATGTGTTTGAAATCCTACAAAATAGGATGGCAAGAATAAGCCATGGTAAAAATAGCCAGAAAAGAAGTTGCAGAAGGCAAGGACCAAAAAGACACAAATGAGTTCTTTAGTAATAAAAACGCTCCATATTTCAATAAGGGCACATCCCAAAACTCACTGAGTAGCACACAACATTTGTGAATTTTGATGCCTATCATTAACTGCCAACAAGTCAATTGAAAACAAAATGCTTTTTTATAAAATGTGTTCTAAGGAACACTAGTCCTGAGAGATATGCCATATAGAATAAAAGTTTCTAGAGTTAAGCAAGTAGGTGAATACCTGATTATATTTCTAGGAAATACAAAACACGTGGCAAGATAAAGGTGGCAGTAACCCTGTTAATTTTTATTCAACCTGAAATAAATAAACTTACTTCGGACTACTTCTTCTAATCTGTCATGGTAAATTATAAATAATCTTGAAAGACAAATGTCACTCTTAAAATTGAGAGTACTAACCTCTGAAAACTATAAACTAGCTGAGCATGGTGGCTCACAGCTGTAACCCTGCACTCAAGACTAAGATCACTGCAAGGTTGAGGCCAGGGACTACAGAGTATGAGCCTGTCACAAAAACAAGCACTAACAAAAATCCTAGTATCCGATTAATTTGAGTTTTCAAATAATAAATCTAAAACTCAATTTTATAAAAATAAAACTGCTGGGAGGCATGGATGGGGTCTGGATTTG